TGGTAATTCACTAATTTTTAGTGTATTCACAAAGTCGTGCAGCTGTTACCACTGATTCCAGAATGCTCTCATCATTCCAGAAAGAAACCCTGGAGCCATTAGCAGTCACTGCATTTCCTGCTCACCCCAGCCCCTGGCCACCACTGCTCTACTGCCTTTCTCTGTGAATTTGTGTGTTCCACACCTATCATAAATAGAATCATGAAACGTGGCCTTTTGAGATGGGTTTCTTTCACTTAGCATAATAGTTTTCTGCTTTTAGGAGAGATTTTTGCTATAGGGCGTGTGCACTCATTTGAGAGAGAGAGAGAGACAGAGACATAGAAAGTGAGAAATCCTCCCCCCTACGGGGGATGGCATGCTGCAATCCCTTCTCCCCCAGTCTCTTCTTGGGATTTTGAGCATATATGCACACGCCCCTGGTGTGAATTTTACATCACCAGGGCAGTCGACTACGTGGGAGTCCAGTGACATAACCATTACACCATCTGCTGGTCTCTAGCATCATAGGGTGTTTTTGTTTATTAGTTAGTTTGTTTGTTTTTGTTTTTTTTTTGTTTTTTTTTTTTGGAGAGGTTTTTTTTCACTATAGGGTGCGTGCACTTGCCAGACAGACAGAGAGAGACATAGAGACAGAAAGCGAGAAATCACCCCCCAGGGGAGATGGTAACGCCACAATCCCTTCTCCTCCGTTCTCCTCTCGGGATCTTGGGCACGCACACACACGCGCCCGGCGTGAGTTTTAAGCCACCGGGTCCGGGACGCGAATCGCGGTCGACTACGTGGGAGTCCAGTGACATAGCCATTACGCTAACTGCTGGTTCCCGTTAGTTTTTTTAATTTAACTTTATTTATTTATTTATTTTGGAGAGGGTTTTGCTATAGGGCACGTGCACTCTCCAGAAAGACAGAGACAGACAGAAAGCAAGAAATCACCCCCCAGGTGGGATGACTACGCCGCAATCCCTTCTCCTCTATTCTCCTCTCGGGATCCTGGGCACGCGCACACACGTGCCCAGCATGAGTTTAAGCCACCAGGTCCAGGACTCGAACCGCAGTCGACTACATGGGAGTCTAGCAACACAGCCATTATGTCAACTGCTGGTCCCTATTCATTTATTTTAATTTGACCAGAGAGGAACAGAGTAAGAGAGAGAGAGAGAAAGCAAGTTGCCAGGGGTCTGGGATTCAAACTGCAGTTGGCCATATGGGAGTCCAGCGCCCTTAACCACCATATCTGCCGGCCTCAGCATCATACTTTTGAGATCCATCTGGGTTGCAGCATGTAATCACACTTCCTTCATTTTTAAACTTTCTTTTCTTTATTGAGTACATGTGCATGAGAGAGAGAGAGAAAGAGAGAGGCCTCCACAAGGCCTGCAATCCTCCAGCACATCAGACCCGGGAGTGAGCTCAGCATGTTTCAGGCTGAACAGACCAGACATTTGAACCGCGTAGGATCTGGCTTCTCTTTGAGCAGCACGCTGCTGTTATGCCACAGAGCTGGCCCACTTCTTTCCTTTTTATGGCTAAATATTTAACACAATTTGTCCTTTCATCAACTGGTGGACATTTCAGTAGTTTCCACTTTCAGACTATTATGGACAATGCCACTGTGAACATGAGTGTACAGGTAGCTGTGCAAGTTTCTGCTTTCATTTGGGAGCAGAATATACCCATAATTGGAATTGTTGGATTATATGATCATTCTGTGTTTAATTTTTTTTAGAGAGAGATTTTTGCTTTAGGGCACGTGCACTCACTGGAGAGACAGAGAGACAGAAAGCAAGAATCACCCCTAGGGGGGATGGCCACTCTGCAGTCCCTTCTCCTCCATTCTCCTCTTGGGATTTTGGGCATGCACATGCATGTGCCTGGTGTGAATTTGAAGTTACTGGGTCCGGGACTCGAACCAAGGTTGATCACGTGGAAGTCTAGCAACGTGACCAATTCGCCATCTGCTGGTCCCATCTGTGTTTAATTTTTTTTTTTTTGAGAGGTTTTTGCTACAGGGTATGCGTGCTCGCCAGAGAGACAGAAAGTGAGAAATCACCCCCCGGGGGGATGGCCACGCCACAATCCCTTCTCCTCCATTCTCCTCTTGGGATCTTGGGCACGCACGCACACGCACCTGGCGTGAGTTTAAGCCACTGGGCCCAGGACTCGAATCGTAGTCAACTACATGGGAGTCCAGCGACATAGCTAACTGGACTGATCCCTGTGTTTGATTTTTTGAGGAACCACTGCTGCTTTTTTTCACAGTAGCTGCATCATTTTACATTCCCACCAGCAACACACACGATTCCAATTTCTCCATATCCTCACCAATACCTTTTTTTTTTTTAAACTTTCTTGATGGTGTTATTTGAAGCACAAAATGTCTTAATTTTTGGGAAATCTAATTTATTTATTTTCTTTTTTTCCTTGTACTTTGATGTCATTGCCTAATCGAAAGTCATAAAGATCTACTTGTATGTTTTTGCCTTAAAATTGTATAGTTTTAACTCTTTTTTTTTTTTTTTTTGAGAGATTTTCGCTATAGGGTGCGTGCGCTCGCCAGACAGACAGAGAGAGACATAGAGACAGAAAGCGAGAAATCACCCCCCAGAGGGGATGGTCACGCCGCAATCCCTTCTCCTCCATTCTCCTCTCAGGATCTTGGGCACGCACGCACACGCGCCCGGCGTGAGTTTTAAGCCACCGGGTCCGGTACACGAACCGCGGTCGACTACGTGGGAATCCAGCGACATAGCCATTACGCTAACTGCTGGTTCCCATAGTTTTAACTCTTTTTTAAAAGTTTAAGTTATTATAATTATTATTATTTTAATTTGCTATAGGGCACATGTGCACACCAGAAAGAGACAGTGAAAGAGAGAGAGAAAGTAAGATACCAGGTCTAGAACTGAAGCCATGGTTGACCATATGGGAGTCCAGCTCCTTAACCACTTGCCGACCCCTAGTTTTAACTCTTATGTTTAGGTCTCTGATCCATTTTGAGTTAATTTTTGTATGTGATGTGAGGTAGGGATCTATCTTTATAACTTTGCATGTGGGTTTCCATTTGTCCCATCACCAATGCTTAAAAAGATTACTCTTTCCACATTGAATTGACTTGGTACCCTTGTCAAAGCAGTTGACCATGTAAAGATTTATTTCTGAACTCTCACTCTGTTTGATTTTTCTGTCTATTAAGCAGAATTTTAATCCAAGTTTATATTCTTCAAATCACACATATCTTTTCTACCACATACATGGGTTCAAATGGCCTCCTTTATTATCTCAGAAGAAAGTGTTTTTTCAGAACAATGCCACAGACTTGCTGTTGAACATTCCTGCAGGCTCCCCTGCTGGGAAGAGGGACCCCAAGTTCTTCAGCTCTCAGCCTGTAGCCCGTGTGGCTGCCAGCCATCCACCACTGCTGCTACAGCTTTTGCTGTGACCTCTCCTTCTCTGTGGTCTTCTCTTTTCCTTTGCTAAATAGGGAGCGACCTTGCTGGACAGGTAGAAAAGGATTATGGGATGGGAAAAATATATTGCTTCCCTATATATAGAGCCAGCCCAAAGTTCAAGACTGAGGACCCTTACTTGTCAAAACCTGTGAAGGTCCGAGGTTTGGTTTTACCCTACTTATGGGCGAATAGGTTAGTTCCTTGCCATGTCATGGTTGCTGGCAGAAGACACGAGATTTTTGGGTCAGAGACAAAATACCTCATTATGCACAGCACAGCCAGCAACTTGAGCTTCAGCATATTTGTGCTGGTTCCTTTTCCCTAGAAAGCCCTATGGGGCAATGTCATGGACCCCCATGGATGATGTAAATGTAATGGGTTTGGATTGCAGTCAAGGAATATTGGACCAAGGGCCTGGCACTTTTTTAGCTAGCTGTAAACACTTACATTTGTAATCCAGTCCTACCCTCCTTGGAGTGAGTAATTACATGGTGCTCATGTGATACTTGACCTACATGTGACCAACTACAGAAACTCTCGGTCTCAGGGCTTGGGCAAGTCTGTGGTCCAACACATTAAGCAAGAATGTGCAGGGACACTTGGTCCATGATCAGAGTAGAGGCCTTTGCCTGCTTCACTCACCTGAGTCAGGCAGCCTCAAGAGGCACAAGAACCTAACAAATGAGGAGCCTCAGAGAGGGGATGTGTCTTGTTCAGGGTCACAGAGGAAAAGCCAAGCCTAGAACCCAGGTTTCTAGCCCATGAGATTTCCATATGACACCAGCATGTTTGTGGCAGATAGGCCTCACCAAGAAGAGGAGTGGGCAGAGGTGGGGAGGCCTGTATCCTTGGCTTTGCTTCTCTGTCAGCTAGTAGATGAGGATGTGGTGGACAAGACCAGCTGCATCAGACATTGTGGCAGAAATGGGACTTAGGAACCCGATGATTTCACTGCTCAGAGGTTGAGTGGACTTGTGGTTTGCCAGGTTGAAGCATGTGCCAGACAGGTAGGGTGAGGGAAGTGGTAGGTCCCTGGAGCTTCGTGCTGAAGAAGCAGCTTCCTCAGTACCCAGGTCCAGGCCTGCCTCCCTCCTGCACCCACACAGCCTTGCCCTTCCTCCTCACAGCACATTCTTCCCAGCCCTCAGACCCAGCACTTCTTTCCAGAAGCCTTCCCATCCCACCCTGGGAATGTTCTGGGCCCTCTATGACTCCCCCTCCCCGTAACTCCTCGAGGCCCAGAACTCATACCAGATCTGTGTGCTCGTGCGTCTGTCCCCCGTTGGGTCAAGGTGGCATCTCTCCTCTCGTCCTGCCTGTCTCTCTGTGGCTCTCGGGTAGATCTGCTCCTGCTCGCAGCAGAATCTGTGCTACTGGGAGCAGTTGTGTGATAGTGCCCGAGGCTTGAGCCTTGCAAGCCACCATGAGGGCATGCAGGAAGTTCCCCGGGCGTGTGGGGAGAGACGGGGTGGAGTGGCCCCTGGAGGCCTCTGGGCGGCTTGACTTGCCTTGTCCTGCTGATTGCTGCTCCATCTGTCCCCTCCCCAGCTCTTCCCCACCCCACTGCAGACCCTCTCCAGGAAGATTGTGCGGTCCAAGATGAACAGCACCCTGGTTGGGGTCTTCACCATCACCCTGGTGTTCCTGTCGGCCTTTGTCAACATGGTGGGTGGTCTTACCTCTTTACCTCAGCCCCTTGGGTGGAACCAGTGGAGCCCTGTGTCCAGACTCCTGACCCCAGGAATTCCCACTTGCATCTCACCTCTGGTCTGGGATCAGACTTGAGTCTAGAGGGCTTTTAGTTCCTCACCATCAAGGCTAGAGGAGGCAGAACCAGCCCGGGGGGAGTGCTGGCACGTTCGAGAACCTCACCTGGGCCTTGCCCTCCTTCCTGCAGGGCAGCTAGGACCTCAGCCAGTCCTTGGCCTCTTTCTTCCGGACCCCTCTTGTCCCCAAAGTGTCAGGGTGCACCCGAAACAGAGGGTGGATGTGCTGCCCTGGCCTGGCCCCTGGGGCTGACGTCTCCTCGTGGCTTCCCCCCACCCCAGTTCATGTGCAACTCCACGGACCTGCTGGGCTGCCTCGCAGAGGAGCACAACCTCAGCGTGAGCCAGGTCAACGCGTGCCACGTGGTGGAGTCGGTGGTCAACTACAGCCTGGGCGAGGAGCGGGGCTTCTGTGGCAGCTCCTGGCCCAACTGCAACTTCCCTGAGGTACTGGGCTGCAGGGCCCGGAAGCAGGACAGATGGAGACCCTCCTGCTTTCTCCACCCTGCCCTGGCTGCTCTGGGCAGCCTGGGGGGCACTGTTGGAGGCCCACAGCTCATGACCGTCTAGAACCTCCTTTCCCCGTCTCTCACTCACAGGGCTGCCTTCTCAATATAACATAACACCGACAACATCAGCACTGTTTACAGAGTGCTGGTCGTGTGCCCGCCACTGCGCTAACCTGACACGTTTGCTCGTTAAGTATTCACTACAACCCCAACACATACGTACTGTAGCGGTGAGGAACCTGATGCGCACACAGGTTAAGCATCTTGTCCAAGCTCACACAGGCTAGTTGGCATTAGAGCCAAAGCTCTCACCCTCCTTGTCTGGCTTCAAAGTTCATGCTGCTAACCTGAGGACAAAACTTTCCAGACCCTCAACTCCTGCAGCAGACCCAACCCTGCCTCAGAAGAAGCCACCTGAGCTGCTCAGCTGTTACAGTCAGGGAGCAGGGAGGGGGAGCAAAGGGGCCCCAATCCCGAACCAGTATGGGAGACTTCAAAAAGTTTGCAAAAAGTGGAATTAACGTATGAGGTTACTTTGGTGGGAAAAAAAGTCTTGAAATCTATGCATAGTCTTTTCACAATATGCATATTCCACGAACTTTTTGATGACCTTTTATACTAACCATAAACTCCACCCGTTTAAAGTGTACCATTCAGTGATTTTTAGTGTATTTATAAATTTGTACAGTCATCATGCTATCTACTTTTAGAACATCTCCACCCAAAAAAGAAAATTTGTAGCTATAGGCATTTGGGTTTAAAATGCAGTGCCAAGGATCCCTCCTCACGAAGGCCATCTGTGGAGCACCTGTGACCAAATAAGGTCAGTTGAGGTGTTGGCCACGTGAGTTATGAAAACCGAGTTTAGAGCTCTGGATGGCAAGCTGCTCCCAGGACCTGTGCACCTGAGTTCTCCACAGTTACCGAGGGCACCGGGCACTGCCCTGTGGCTGATCTCACATAGTACGACGTTTTACAGACGGGGAAACCGAGGCTTAGAGGGGCTGAGCACATGGCCCAGGCACACGACCGGTATGCAGGGAGTCCGGGACGCAGCTCATGTCAGGCCGAGTCCGGAGCCCAGCCCTAACATTAGACCCTTCTCCATACTGGCCATTCTCAAACTGGAGCCCTACCCCGGGTTCCTATCCAGGGCGCTTGGCATTAGGTCACACCTCTGGCAAGTTTGTGTGACAAGTTTATATCCGCAGAAACATCCCAGGCCCGGCTTCACAGCTGAGTCCTAAGTGGCTGGGAGAGGGCGGGGCTGCAGGCGGGGCCGGCTAGTCAGGGCGGGACTAGGCCAGAGGGGCGGGGCAGGACGGGGCGTGGGGCAGGTAGGCCAGGCAGGGGCGGGAGGGGA